TCCTACTTAGCCTAAAATGCTAGTAGGGCGCTGTATAGTGGGGAAATGGCGAAAGAACGGAGTGAAACGGTCAAAATCCTGCGAAGAAAAAGCCTCCGTTCTCAGTGACTTGTAAATCGATTTCGGACGAGTTTCCCGTAGGCATCTTACCAATCACCGCTACCGAAGATATATGTGTACCCATGTATGCATGCAGCATCACGGCCGCTTCATACCAATCCCTTCGCTTCATAATTTGCTTAGCAAATGAATGAATACGAGCGTCAGGAACGGTCGTCCATTTGTGGGCGGGCGGGCGTGGCGGGCGTTTGGGACGTAAAGTTGTGGCTTGATAGGGCCCTTATAAGGGCACCTTCTTCGGGGAAACCGCTATGGCGCGGAATTCTATCCTGCCAGCCGTATTAAACCTAATCGTCTTCAGGGGTTTATCGTGCCATCTGCAGATACGACCACATCCCCATCGACTGAATACGACCCCCGACGGGATTCTCCCAACGAAACCGTACTCTGGTTTCAGCCCCTCTCACTGCTGTCAGAGTGGCTCAGCACTTGCACAGAGTGGTCCCTTTCCGGAAATTCGTGACCGACGCGGCCAGGCGTCTCGAAGGATGCACTAAGAAGGTCGACATACTTTCGTTAACGTTTTGAATGTACAGGCGAGCGCAGGGTACATCCGAAACCTAAATCGGTACCTAAAACCTCCTTGTCGCTGATAACGCTAACATATGTTAACGCTAACAAAGTATAAACCTTTTCAAAGAACGGTCTGCGCCCAGAATTGTGTTTTTCTATCGAATGCCAACTTTTTTCCCGGTTTTCGCGGAATCCTTGATTGCGTCGCTAGGGTTGTGTGTGTCTCTCTCTCTCGTTCTCCTACATTCTTGCAAGCCAGCAGATAGGCTAAGGTATAGGCATAAGGTCAACGTCATGAAGAAACTCCTATTTGGGGAGCGAGCAGCCCGACCAGCCGGCCAATCTGTTCGCGACCTCTTTATCGCGGAGTTCGCCACTGATAATGGTGTTGGCAAAGAAATATGCCCGCGCTGATAGCATATTTACGACCCATTCATTTTCAACTTCAGCGCTTTAGCCCGTAAAATTTCAGTGGCTAATCAACTGCAATCTTCGAAGAGTTCACCTGAAGACACATCAAACTGCTTGAGTTTGTCAACGAATTTCACCGCATATCTCATCAGATCCAAATTGCCCTCTTCAATTCCGTGCCTGAAGGGAAATGCCGGAATTTGAAAATAAAAAAGAAAATAAGCAAGCAAATAGAAAGAAAATGAGAAAGAAGACTAGACCTGTACGCTTCGGCATAGTTGAAGAAATGCTTGAAGAAATCCATGTCGAGGATGAGCTGAGTTTCAGAATCGGCTAGGAATTGTGTGAACAACGAGCCCATAATCTGGAAAACGACTGGTAGGTTAGAGGGAACAGAGAATTTTTCGAGCACAAAGAATAAGCCTTTTGAAATGGGTTGAAAATAAAAAAATCTGAGGAATAGATATTGTACTTGCATGTCCTCCGTTCCTCACTGAAGAGTGTCTCGTGCCGATCGGAGCTTGCCCATTCGTCTTGCGCATCATTTTCCAGCGCGGTGACATTGGCTGAATTGTTGGTTAATCCGACATTAATTTCATCCTTGCACAAAGAGTCCTTCGGATGCCCCCTCGAGTTGTTTGGCCCCTTAGCCGGCTAAAATAGGCTGCTCACAAAAACTTCTGTTTATTTGCTCATTTACCTAATTATTTCCAGTGTGAGCCAGCAGTAAGTGCAACTACAAATTCCCAGTACAGTCTTGTTTGGTGGGTATGCTAGAGGCGTGTCAGGGGCTGGGCCTGGAGCCCCACCAGCCTGTTCCCCTCCTATAGGTAAAGAGGGGGAAGCAACGATAGGTAGGGAGAACAAATTGGCAATACGTCAAATCCAACCCATCTGACACGCCCCAACCTCCGTAGCGATCAAGACTACGCATACACGTGAATGAAAATCAAATCGAAATTGCAAACCTATGCAAATTTTATATTCTTTTGTTATAATATGGCTGCATTTTGTTGGCCTCAATTATTCGAGAGGGAGGACTAAATTGCTGACCGAGCATTCTCGGAAAAAATATGGGTCGCCAAATGTCAATCCGCTTGAGGACCCGTCACTATTTCCCTGGTCTTTACAACTCTGATCTGGTATTGCTACCGTGTCTGGACCATATTGAGCCTCCAATTGAAAACGAATCGCCGGTTGGCGAGGTTGATGGTGTAAATTACTCGAGGAGCTTCCAGCTTCCGGTGAACACCTTTTTTTGGACCTTTTTCATCCGGAATCGCAGCGGCTTTTTAATTGCCATTCAGCATAAACGAGGAGCCAACGTATCCGACGCAAGTCAGTGCTTTTATCCTCCCAGACGAGCCTGGTGACAAGTTAATGGCCCGAAATATGAAAGACATCATCGACAGAACCTGATCCAGAGCTTAGTCTGGAGACCGCACTTGTGATAAGCAGAGCCATTTGGTACTACATCACCTTCGATTTGAATATTCTCATAGAAGAGTAACTATGAACGTTAAAAACGCGCATTTGGGGCAGTTCTGCGATGGGGGGGGCATTTTGCACTTTTGCTACTTCCCATCGACGTCGACCCATCTAGACAGCCTCTTCTCGAGTTGACAGGTTTTACCATGATGGCTTGACGAGCTTGCTCCAGCTTCACAAGAGTTCACAGGTTTCACCAGAGTGAGACTTGTAAACCGGAACTAGTGAAGCAACGAAAGTGCAAAATGCCCCCCCCCCCCTTCGCCGAACTGCGCCCGCACATTTTTCTGAACACGAGCCTAGGTTAAGGCCGGACCAGTGGGGGGGGGTTCGTGGATCCCCAACAGGAGCGGGGTTCAAATTGTTGAGGACTGTAAAGGTGGATAAAGTCAGTGCTTCTGTCCTCACAGACGCTGCTGATGGTAGGAGAAGAAGGCTTTGTTCCCTTTGGTGAATGACAATCACGGACCATGTCCCGGAAAAGGAAGCAGCGTTTCCACTGCCACCCTTTCTTTGTTATTTTTTTAATATTATTGATTAGTAATATCTTCGAAAAGCGCATAGGAGGTGCTGCTCCAATCAAGCAAACATTTTGATAATAAAATACTTGAAATTATAAGTCCAAAAAAGAGTAAAAGACCCAGTCAGCTCGACAGGCGATCAATCTCACCTGAAGCAGAGACCACTATAGCGAAGAGCGGAATCAGATGCAATGAACTGTGCCGCATCTGGCTGATGAGTGCCTTATCAAGACGAGAAAGGGCTGGCGCCTCCAAATAAACATTCCCATCACCACCGTCAATCGAGCGAGCACATTCACTTCCTACCGGCGCCTGAACCACGCCAGCGATTTCATGTGCGACATTTCTCCTGAAAAACTGAGGTTTACAGTAGTACAAACCAGTTCTATTGTGAGCCAAGTGTATCCCCGGTGTTTATTTAGCTCTTCAATATCTCGATGCCACAAAATGTTGCACGATTTGGGCTATCAAGGAGTGAAATAAGCGGTGCTATATGATTGATATCTTTCAAACTTCTCTCTTCTTGTAACATCGACATTAGTTTTTCGTTTCCTTCGTATATGATACCTCAACGTACCTTCTTCTTAGGTATTTTCCGAGGCCTAAAAGTGTCCCGAGCTGAAGAAGATGTGCACTGCCCCATCAAGCACATCAGCACTACCAGATCTCTCAGCCTTTGAATACCTCCCCCATATGAAAATGCTGGTGTGCATTATTTTGAGGGGGGTAGTGCTCATTGTTTCAACTCAAGACGCTTTTAGGACTCTGGAAAAGAGCGAAAGCTCGGGCCGATAAGTGAGCTGTTCTGTCTCAAATCCATCCAGAATCGAAAGGCACAGAACGACAGTCGATATGGTCGAAGTCTGGCGACACGGTATCACGAGCTATGAAAATGAGCCCACTCGCGGCTGCGTTTTCCACTAGTAGTGGTCGGTTCAAGCAGAAAACAGCCAGTAGCAGAGGGCTCGCTTCATGCCTTCTGACCCCGCCTCTACGATTGCGATAATATCAATTGCACCTTTCGAAAACCCACCTAACTGGGAGGAAAGGTTCCAACCAATTATGTATGCGAAATTTTGCCTTCCGCTCTCTCACACCCTTCAGTGAAGAAGATAGTGCAGTGGCAAGTGACTCAACTAGAGGATATGGGGAAATGAGGGGTGGAATCTCAAATCGCTCCTCATCCTATGCTTACCAAACCATCGATCCCTTTGGAGTCGCGTTCAGAATCCGCTGAGACGTTAGATGGAAGAGGCGAGTGTTGCCATTTTACCCTCCCACGAAGAGGAAGCATTCAGAAGATCAGCAGTTACCACTCTTCAGTTAGCATACAGGGTTGCAATAAAGGCACTCTGCTCGTAGAGCGCATCATTTAGGTTCATTCAGATAACACTTATAAGGTAAGTGAAAGACCCATGGTGAAATATCGTTCCGTCACCAATGGTTCATGAGGGTATGTGACAAGAGAATCGTAATTCTTCGCGCTGGTGGCGTCGCGTGCGACGTCGCGCCCGCAAATGACGATGGTTCCAGGTAGTAGATGGCGACAACAGGCAATTCAGAACCGAAAATAGTCATGAATGTCTACGATGACGGGGTCTACATGAAGTCCGGTGCTCTAAACAACTTAACACTAGTTAAGAACGGCGCGCCCATCGCCGCGCTTGGCGGAGTGGCAATTTACGATTCTCTTGCCCGTCTCCCGCTTTATGATGACTCGATCTTACAACAAAATTATGCACCACGGCGTATGGGACACCAGGCAGGCCGGTCGAAGGCGGATCTTGAGAATTCATGGATTGGAATAGTGTCTGCATGTGCCAACGGTACCCACTTTTCTCGTCACATTGTGCGAAAAGGTTTCAGGAGCAGCTCAGCGACCCTGTGTTTCTCAGGTCCCTCCACCCTCCAGCCTCCTGTAGACCCCCTTATACGTTCACAACCATTTCTGCGGAGCTGAATGGGCCAGGTAAAAAGAATCAACAGATGTATTAGGGAAAACATTCCCAAAGCCCAGATGGGTCGTTTTTGCTCGATGGCGATCCTATGCACACAGCCTCGATAGAAATTTCCAAGCGAAGAAATTCAGAAAAGTCACCCCCCCCACACCCTAGTTGCCAGCATTGCGGGACTGTGCAACTACTACATCTGATAATTGATCTTTGGCGAAGCAAGAACAAGAAGAAGAGCCACCTACTCCCTTCGCTGGACGCCAGTTTATTTGGAAAATGGAAAACTGGAAAATTTTCAGGAAAATTAGTGAGCAGCTGTTTAAAATTAGATTAGGGAGGATAGGAGAAGGGTCGTGCTAAAAAAGGGAAGTTTGCTAGGGGGGGGGGGCGGATCAGTGTTTTCGAGACATCACCACCGAACTCGAACTCAGGCACATCTCACTAATGTGAGGCATATATTGTGGGTCAGCCGCATAAGTAATTGGCGTTTTTATTCCCTCACTGCAATGTAGGACATTATTGGGAAAATTATCATTTTCCGCTATAGAAAAATTTACGTGAAAAAAATCGCCCATTACTTATGGGCGCAACCCAAGTTGAATACCAGTTTCATAACTCCTCAATGATGAATTTCGTAAATTTTGAAGATAAGTTACTTACATTCAGCAAAAGACTTCATCTTACTACATAAATAACTAACAATGGATCGATTAACTAAATAGATACACGAAAATCCTCAAGAAAAGTGCAAAAGACACGTTCAACGCAAAGAGAAAACAAATACTTTCCAAACATAACGACAAAAAGATGGAAGATATTTCCATTTAGTATATGATCAGGAATGATTGCTTCAAGATGTCGGTGGTGGAGGTGGCATAGGTGGCGGTGCTTGTCCTGGAGGTGGTGGAACAGGCGGTCTTGAAGGTGGTGGTGGAGGTGGGAATTGTCCAGAACCTGGCGGCGGCGCACCGGCATTGAAACGTGGCGGTGGAGGCGGCATACCTGGTGGGAAACCTGAAATGAAACGAAGCCATAACTTTTTGACACATACATGATTTCGTAGGTGATAAATGTCTGTCTGTAATTCCTAGTAAAAGACAACAACTCTTCTCTCTTCCCACTACCTTGAGCATTTTACCCAAACAACCTAGGTGGTCTGGTAACAAAACCCAAACCTTTGAGAAAAGGCAAAAAGCTCAACACTATTTTCTCTTCAGTGATCCACTGTTCAAGACTCAGGCCACATTTTGATCAGGTTTTTCCCCCAAGGAAGACTCGAGCAACATCTTTTCCCGGCGGTAGGTCGGCCGTCCGTGAACATCCTACGCCTAGCTTCCACGCATAGGCGCCAAGGCCGCAAGCCAATCTCAGCGCTTTCGCCCGTAACGCTTACGGCAAGCGTTTTCGCTCCAACTAAGGATTGCGTTCATGTTCCCACAGGGGACACGTTCTGATGATTTGAGGTGCTTTGGCAATTTTTGCGTCAGGCGATTGTGATATTTTGGCCAGAATTTCGACCAGTGGGATTGCAAATAGTACCGAAAACTCTATATTAAAAAAGTGAAGAGAAAAAAGAGTAAAGATAAGCACCTTGGAGGTGGAGGCATCATTCCTGGAGGTGGAGGGCCTGGAGGTGGTGCTGGAGGACCTGATGGTGGAGGTCCTGGTGGCGGCCCAGGGGGTGGCATCGAACCCGGTGGCGGTCCTTGGGGTGGCATCGAACCCGGTGGCGGACCAGGAGGTGGCATCGAACCAGGTGGCGGACCAGGAGGTGGCATCGAACCAGGTGGGGGACCAGGAGGTGGCATCGAACCAGGTGGTGGACCAGGAGGTGGCATCGAACCAGGTGGTGGACCAGGAGGTGGCATCGAACCAGGTGGAGGAGGTGGTACGAAAGATGTTCCGCGCGACGGTGGAGGTGGAGGTGGAGTCGGCATAGTTGGCGTTTGAGTCGGTGGCGGTGGAGGCATAGTCCATTGTCCTCCAGCTAAAATAACACATATCAAGCCATTATCACAAATTTACCCAAAAGGACTCGACACAAATGCACACATTTTCCACTTTAATCACTTTAAAGTTACCTGACATAGGTGGCGGAGGTGGACGAGGTGTTATGGTCGGTGTTGGTGGCACCGGTGGTGGCGGAGGAGGAGGCATTGGAGTCGCTGTTGGTGGTGGCGGAGGGAAAGCCATACCCATCGGTATAGGTGGAGGCATTGGAGGCATACCAGGAAGTCCAGGAATGATCGGAGGCATTCCAGGCATCGGCGGTGGGAACGGTAGTCGCCCAGGAGCGTCTGAGAATATCTGAAAAAGAAGAGCATGGTAATTTGTGAGAGTAGATTCGCTCTGCGAAAGGCAGGAAACACACCTGGTTGGGACGATCCTTCGGGAACAAGGGATTCTGGGCAGCCAGCATACGTTCTGCTGCTGTACCGTGTCGTTCACCCTTCGCATCTTTTTTGAAAGCGTACGAAACGGAAATTGCCCTGCAACGATACTATCGGAAAAGGAAGTTCTAATAAGATGGCACTACTAGAATAAGATGGCAGTACTAGAAACACTTGCCTGTTGCACAGAAATTGCCCATTCATAGCCTCCATTGCCATATCGGATGCCTCGAATGATGCAAAGTTAATGAACGCAAAACCTTTACTGTTGCCAGTTTCCGGATCACGCATGATTTTTGGGGACCTGAAACGATTTTAGTTGATTCTCAAATCCTTGGAAGTCATCCAATGAAACTGCCAAGCCGTCAAAGCTTTCCAGGGGAAAAGAGATCTCACTTGTAAAATAACACCGAATGCACTGAAAGTATCATATAGAAGCTTTTCATCGACCTGAAACATGAACTTTTTAGCAAACAACAACTGCACTGGCACGATCAGCAGGGAAAAAGTACCAAACAATACCTCTGAATCGAGATTTCCCACAAAGATATTAGCTCCAACATCCATATTTTTCTCATGAGCGCTAGCTTTATTCACCTAAAAATGTGGCTGAACATCTGATGGACAATACTGCTACCTGAACCCAGCACCCACAGTAGGCTGGAAGTCGTAAGTGCGGAGCGGTGGTTGGCCACGGTAAAAAAAGTACTGAAAACTTGTGAACTCACTTTTATAGGCTTTCCGTAGAGCTTAATCATATTAAGAATCTTGATTGCATAGTCAGCATCTTCCTCACCAACAAATTCAACAAAACCGAATCTGCAAGTAGCACTACTCTCACTCAGTATTCAAAAAAAGAACCATTAGAGAGCCAGCGGTTGCTGTGGAGGGGTTTGAAGGCGAGAAGTTTTTTTAAGCCGCGAGGAAAAATTTTCCGATCGTTAACTCTTTGTTTTGTGCGCGCTATATCTGCCTCCTTAGTCTGCGGTGCCAAAGCTTTTGTGCGACCCGTATCGAATTACCCTATTTTCAGACATTCGGTAGAAGTTGATGAGTTTGGGAACGTGGTATGTTGGTCGTGGGATGGGCCTTTCAGAGGATTTCTCTGGGGCCGTAGTGACAGCGCGACTCCTATTACTAATGTT